CCCTACAGGTGGTTCCTCCCTCACACTTTTATGATTCCTAACTCCAGTTGCCTTTGATTTATCACATATTATTATTATTATTAATTGATCCTTAATTAGGTTCATTTATTAAAAATAAGTACCCAAAAATATATTGTTTATGTAAATAGGATATCGATCATTAAGCCCCCAAAATAGAATTTATTTTTCAAATAAAAAAATTTACTCATCAAGAGCTGCTAATCATGATATAGATTCATTTGGTCAAGAAAAACTGTGGTGAATCTTTTAAGCTTAATAGACTTAAAAAATGGAAGACTAGAAATTACATATTTTGATACTTTCTAATAATGAAAAAATAGGGTTAAAATTTAATCAAATAACAAAAGCATATTTTTATTCTAGAATTTTTACAAGTCTGAGATAATATTTGAAATGTAATGATAATTGTCCAACTTGTAAGGGTTAGTAAAATTTATTTATAAAATTGTGAATTATGTGAATGAATTCTTGGGTATTATATTGATTTCTAAAATCAAATTCGTTTCCATTTATGAATAGATGGAATAATTGATTAAAAGGATTGCCAATTTGGAAATTTAGCATATCATCATTGATTTGGTTCTTTATGCAAAATTGAGTAAAAAAAAAACTTCTCAAATAAAGAACTCAAATCTCAATTAAACCAAAGGTTTACTTATAATCATTACCTGAAAAATCCTAATCTAAATTAGTATTAAACTGTGAAAATAATGAAATAATACCTGAAGGTATTCAAATGATTTATCATCAACTTATAAGAAAACCTGTAACGTTCAATTTAATTCTTTAAATCTATTTTCAATATAATAAAACCCTTTTAAAATGATTCAAACAGAAAATAAATATAATTTAATAAAAATATGGCACTGTTAATTAAAACTCAACTTGAAATCAAATTTATCTTTTTCAATTAAATGTGTTGTTTAGAATAATATTAAATGCTTTTGTAAAAATTTGATATATAAGAGCTATATTAATGTTACTATCATAGGTACATTTGAATAAAATTTATTATTTTTGAAGAAAAATATTTATGAAATACAATTCTACAATCCAAAAATAAATCCTAAAGATTTAGAATGAAAACTATTGACATAGGGAATTTCAAATGCTTAACAACTTTTCATTTGATTTTTCTTATATTGATTCCTGTTTCTATTATATTTAACCTTTGTAGATCTTTTTTTGTTCTTTTAGAAATAATAAATTACATAAATTATTTCGATATTTTTAATAATATTGTTCTTTTAAATTAGAGACGTGAAGTAGGAACACATATCTTAATGAGAATAATTTAAATTTATCTAATTAGAAATATTTTATTAATTAATAAATCATATAAAATACAATTGTATACTTAATATTGTTACATCAACATAAAAGATAACTAACTATTGTTAATATAGCATTTCTTTTATTATGATTTCATTAATTCCTTTTCTTAATTTTCCATTTTGCAAATTTTTATCCACAATTAAATATTTTGTGTTAATAGGTGGGGATATAAAAAATATTCATTGATTAAATTAATGATAATTATTAGACCTGGAATTCTTTGAAAATACAAAAATAGCCACCATTATCGAAAATATCTTATCTAACAGGTGGCAAATAAAGAATTTTTTCGAATCTGAATTAATGGATTCAAAAATATCCCTATCATTGATAAACTAACAAAATCAATAAAAGAAGGTAATTCGACTATTATATGATTTGAATTTTACTCTCCTAATTTAAAAATAAAGACAATCATACTAATTAAATTTAAATATAGCTTTTAGGGATTCCACATTAACTTTAAACTTCATGAAAAAATCCTCTCTAGGATGATTTACTTGTATTAAATAAACTACTAATCGTTAGGTAGTACTCAAAAGTATTTTAATTCCTTAAACTTGTATATAAAATATAGCTGATATCTATAGTTTTTATGAATATTAAATCATCAATTAGAGTTAAGATCTAATCATATCAGGTAGTTATTACATCAATAATAATAAATTGGTATGAAGTAAAATCAATGGCTTCTTTAATAAACTTAATAAGAAAAGATTAATAATAAATAATTTGAAGTACCATTTTCATATAGAAATAAACATAAGAATAATCAATAGTAAAAAAAATTAATTTAAAAAGTCTGGAGCATATTTTCAGATGTAGAAAAAGTTGAATAATTAAAAAATTATAGCAGAGGAATAGAAATTAATCTATTTAAGATCATTTTCATTTTAGAAATGGTCAAAATTGGCTTTTAGATTTGAATTTGATATCTAATGTCTAATTTCAATATTGATCACAATATTAAGTAAAAAAGAACCACATAGAGCTATTTTTATACTTTTGATATAATTTTTCAATAATTCTTTTGTTTTTGAGCATGGTATGTATAAGCTATCTAATAATCCTAGATTCCTAAATTTAAATTAATATATTATAAATTATAAATATTTTCAAGACTATATTTATTTATCATAAACTAGATACAAAATAACTGATTTATTAGAATTAATCCAATTCATAATAAATCTTATAATAATTATTTTATTTGCTTCATTGAAAAATTGAATGTCATAATTCAATTCAAAATTAGATAAATTGTATAATAATTGATATTATTTGTATTTTCAATCGTCAAACAAAGGATTAATACCAATAACATCTACATTTTGCAACTTGTTTCTATTAATAGAATTCATAAACAATCTTTTTATTTTAGCTTGTATTATTAAAATTAAGAATTAAATAATTTTACTTTGTATGTCTGAAAGAGACTTCATTAGAAGACTAATTTGTTTAATTCTATAAAAAATATGCTTAAGCTAGAATGCTTTACATTTAGATTTGTTGACTTGAAGATGAGAAAATTTGCTTGATGCTGTATATGTTTAGTAATTTAATTATTATATAATGCAAGCAAATATAGGGATGTCATTTAGTAATATAAAATCTGTTCAATAATATTTTAAACATTTCTTGGTCAAATAATTCTTAGAAATCTTATTAAAAAAAATTAATTAACAAAGTTCTAAAATGGTAAGATCCCTGTATTTCCATACAGTAAACTAAAATGGCTTCATTTTAATATGAGAAAATAGTAATAATAAGTGTTTAGA